AGGTCGACAGTTCAATCCCCAGCCAGGTCAAATGTTTGTTTTCCCTCTCTTTTTCTGTCATCTTTTTATTAGCTCACCTCTCACTTAGTGACAGGCTGAACTGTTTAATAAAATGGCTGCCAAAGTTTACAATTGTTTTTAGATTAAGCTGTCTCTTATTTTCAAATTGTGCTTCTGGTGTGAAAAGGGTCTACACTTTGACATTTTGGCTTATTTCTCAGGTGAGCAATCCAGGGCCCTCTGTGCCCTCTTGTTTTGTTTGTACGCCTGGATGTGGTGTATTTAACACATTAATATTGTAATTTCTCTGACATTACAAATCTTGATTTTCATAAAGTAAATCAAGCTCGGTTTGAATTATTCACATTGACTAAGGAAGTAATGTCTTTATTCAACTTTTGTACAACATCATATCCTGATAAAAATCAGGTACGTTCTTTATATTATAGATAATTTTATTCTGACAATGTAATGTTTCTACAGAAGAAACATTATCGTCAAATTCAGGTATAATGTCTAAAGACAGCTTCCACCGTAAGAATAAATGATCAGGCCAGAGTCAGACATTATACCTATTGTTTTAATAACTTCAAAATTATTAAACTAGTTCAAATTTTCAAAAGGGACAAGGAAAAAATAAACATATGATGCCTGTTGTGGGCCAATAAATGTATTACCATTTATTAATAGTATTTCTTCCTTTTAAAATGAAAACAGAAAACACCAACTAAAACCAGTTTAATTGTTTTTGTAACTGTTAAGAGTTGATCTAAAATATCTCGTTTTGGGATATTATCGATACCTGGTATCTAGTCAAATGTATCTGGCGACGGCTATTAAAATCACAGCAAATAGACATACATGAGTGACATATGGAATTAATAAGTTTTAACTTGACACATATACTTTCATAAGAATCACAAACATCAATTTGTCTTGTAGAATAATGGAATGGAAAATAACGAACACATACACCTATATAATAACCATAGCATCATTTTTACATTAACTCCAACCATAAAATTCCTTTAAAAAATCTTTATCCAGAATTTCACAGGAAAAATCTGTAGATTGTAATAAACCTAAATCTGTAGTTTATCAGAAACCGTTTATCGCCTGAGCCGAATTTGGATTTTTATGAAGTTTTTTTTGTATTCTGACAAAACCACTAGACATCAATACATATATTTTCATCGGATTTTAAATGAGTCTCAACTCCAATGACATTTGAAAAAATACACATATTTTCTTTCATTTATAACTACATTGGAATCTGATGTTTAATTAAATTTCCAACCTCTTATGCTTCAGAATCCGCACATGTTTCCTACCATGTCCTTGTGCTTGTCTCCAGCCATTTGCATTAAGTTGTCTGTTTGGGTTCTTTTGTTTGCCTTCTATATGAATACCTATTATTGTTATCTTGTTCATTGTTTTGACGATTGTTACGGTTACCTCTTTCGTTTATCGTGATGTGATTGTTCGTTGGACCTGTTGTCTTGTTCACTATTATCAGGCCTATCATGACTATCTCTGCCATTTCCACTTACACTACAGAGAATGTACTAACATTTGTAGCTCTCTTTAGCAATATCTGTTTTTAAGCGCACATGATGCTTCAAGCATTTCTTAACCCATTACTGCATGAGCATTTGGTGAAAAATGTCTGTTTTCATTGAAAAGTCTCCCGTTACAAGCTCAAATTGTTATAAAACTATAAAACTGCTACAATACTAATCAAACTTGGCACAAATGTTGACTGGACCATTGCCTTTGTAACAACATGCTCAGTCTTAAATTTTCTGTCACCATGGCAACGTGGGACATCTCAAAATTGCCTAAAATCACTATTTTGCGTTGATTTTTTTCCATGAAAATTGATTTCAAAGTGCTGCAACTACTCAATGGATTGAGATAGAGTCAAAGGCTTTTCAGCGTTGGTTACACGTTACCTTATGATCGACCTGGGGTTATTTTTAGCCTCTCACAGGTCCAAAATTTTCTTGGCGATGAGAGGAACTGCCGCCCTCTTCAACCCCCCCCCCCCCCCCAATAGAAGGGGCACATTTTTTTACCATTTGAGACAACAAATAGGGGGAGGGGGTTGAAAAAAGGCGTTAAAAGGCGTGTACATCGCGTAATGGGTTAAACAAACCAGGGATATTTGCAGTCATTGTGGCATTATTAGTCCATAAAGAATAAGTACTTAACCTTGCGTTCGGAGCGATAGACTTTATCCTCTTAACGATTGCTTTTTGAGCTCTTGTAAAACATTTTTTTGTTAAATAAGAAAAGCAACCTTTTTAAAGATCGAAAAAAAAAATTTCCTCTGTTTCCTTTTCTAATTATCGTTTTGTCAAAGTATATCAAAAATTATCTTTTGAAAAAACGAATAATAAAACGTGTTAAATCTACTAAAACACAAAAAACCTAAAAAAACACAAAAACTTTAATTGCTTTTAAAATTATGTTTAAAGATTCCTCTTTCCCAAAAGGTTTTTTAAAATTAAAATTGCCAACAACTTTTTGTAAAATTTTTTTTACCCGCACAAAAGTTTAACTTATTTTGTTCATTCAGTATTCTCTTAAACCTTTAAAATGCACGATGTTCACTTACGCAGCCTCCTCTATTTTACGTTTTAAGAAATATCTAAAGCCAAGACTTGTAGGAGAAAACTTCAATTAAGTAAACATATATTGTCATAAAAACATTACTATGATTATCATTTATCTCCAACATAAAACATCAAAAAACTTAATTACATTTTAGCCAAACGTCGTAAGTATTTGAAATATCTCAGATTTTTTTGCTGGTTTAAACCACATATACTTCCTTAGTTGTTAATTGCCTGAATGGTACGCTCTTCCATAAAGAAACGATTAGCTTACTGGAGTGACATTTTCTAATCAAAGAGAAATAGGCCTTTGAGGAGAGGTGAGAAACGTTGTCTCCACTGACCGATTTTGACAAAAAGCCACTAACAATTCTGTTCCCGGAACACACCATCTGGAATAAAATCTAGTTCATATGCGAAGGAAAACTGTCATTGGTATATGGTCCCCATATACTTGAACTTACTTTCCAGTCATCACCATTTACACAACAGCTAGTGATCAGCCCTTCTTTACCTTCCCTGGGTAACCATTCAGTACAAATCGTAATTTTATTTTCCTTGTAAAATGCTCTAGTAGCTAACGCTATGTACAAAATTTGTCTTACTACAAACATGTTTTAATATAGACTAAACTTCTTGTTATCAAAAAAGACCTTAACACACGAGCCTTTAATCTCTTTTTGAAGGTATGCAAAACTCTACGAACTGATTCCGCCTCCCACTAGGTAGAACTCAATAACGTTTTCCCTGTGATCAAGACCTTACGATCTCTATACCAGTCGTTTCCGAGGATCTTATTCTCATCCGGGCATTTATAACTAATTTCCTGAACACCTTTGTCACGACTATGCGTCACTCTGAAATACCTCCATACTCCACATCCAAAAGAATGCACTGATATATTTTAAGGCAACTACAAAAGTCTGAAGCTATTATTACAACAAACTCAAGCCGCGCAATTGCCCTACGACAAAACGATGACCGCCCGGTGCCTCTGCATGAATAGTCCGCGAACCGGGCGATACTCTTTCTAGTGTCTATTAGGGCGCCGGTCGATGTCCGTCCGGGTGCCTTTAAAACAATCTTTCGATCCAAAGAAACATCACCCGGTCGACGCATGGCGATCACTGCCAGATGACTTTTTCAACTCACTGACCCCAAAAATTATCGTCCGACCGCAGTTAGCTTTTAAGTTAGTAGTACCTAAACACGACGGCGCCCGCCCGATGACCATAATTTTCAGCTTGTCACGGTGGCCGGACTGACATCGGCCGATATGACGATTTTTTTGAAAATGGCGGCAGTTTGTCAATTGTGACTTAGGCAATACCAGTACTAGTTGCCTTCACTTTTGCATAACTGATAACTTCTGTACATGGCAGAGCAGAGATAGAGCGAATGACCGTAAAAAAGATTCCATGATCACTTACAACGAAAGTGACCTGCACCGTCTGGGAATAGAACCCGATCGCCCGATTCACAGTTTAATGCTTTACCATTTGTGCTAACGGACGGTTACTGAAAAACAGCTGTAACCTGTGACTATATATATACTCACGCGTTGTTGAAAAACCTGACCATTCAAGTTTTATTACCAAGGTAAAGTTATCTGCAATTTGTTGTAACGCGGCTAATTTGAAACTATATTCACAATTTCAGATACAGACTTGAATGCATAACAAATATTTTTACCCAGTGGTCTATTTTTTGGCATTGAAGTTTGAAAATTCAGATGCTGATTAAAATGCGAACAGTTGCCCTAGATCTTGACCCATTGGCCTTCGTTTGTAATAAAAGCTGCAGGTAGCTTTAGAATTAAGACTTTATCCACTGTTTCAGATGAGAATTTAAATTTTGATATCAGTTGAAACTTGTTTTGTGAATTCAAAACTTTTGATGCTTTTATCATTCGGTTTTCTTTTGCTAGAAACAAAATGTTCCTATCGTTAATCCTTTACAAGTCCTTGTCTAATCCAGTTGTTTTTGCTCCTTGCCACTGGCTCTAATTGCTGGGTCGGGTGGGGTTGCGTTCATTGAACGCCGCCTTTCCTTGTCGATCTTGTTTATCATATTTTTTATCTTACCACATTTGTATAGTATGAGTTGCTTTCATCGATATCTTGTTACTATAGTTTTCATTCAACTTGGGGGTATCCCATTTTCATAACTATGAACATAACAAGAGGTACTGTGTCAGTTTACAAACAAAATATCACGCAATATATTTCTTTAAATTTATCTAGTCTCCTTTATGAAATTAAGAGAGCATTTGTGTGATAACGTGCTATATGTTTGTATGTTTTAAATTATAATATGCATAATTTGTCTGTAAATATGTTTATATATATGTTCTATGATTGGTATTTAAATCGACTATATAAGATGCCTATTAAGTGAATAAATGTTTATTTTCAGTGTACACTTCCTTTGAATGATTGCCTTTTAGCAGCTCACAAAGTGTTTAAGGTAAGCCCATTAAAATTTTTAACCGAAATGCCGTTCGTAAGTCCACATTACTTTTAATAGACCAACAAATGGTACTGTGTTCATGCGCTGTCATCCAGGGCGTCATCAAACCATGATGTCACATTGTTCTTGTTTAAAAAATAACTAATGCATTACCTCTGTTTTGAAAAATATTCAAATAGGCTAGAATTACATTCAACTGTATTTTGATCTTAGGGCTGTGGGTTCAAACACCAGAAGGGTCAATTCTTTGCCCAAAAAATTGGAAGGCATATATTATTTGTATTATTTGTCCATTTATCTGTCCGTTAATCTTTCCGTCCGAACTTTGTCCGGTGGATGGATTTTAGAATAAGTTTATATACATGTCTGGCACATTCGGGCAAACTGTCATGATCAACGCTCAAAGGTCTGACTTCAAAGAACATTTTCAATAAAAATGCACTGACGTTCGTGTCCGATCAACAATTATGTCATTGATGGCTGGATTATAAAAAACACGCATAAATGTGTAAGACATGATGACAATGTGTCGCACGCAAGAATTTGGTCCATTAGCTTAGATGTCAAATTCACACTTGTAGATCAAAAGTCATACACCATGAATCAGGTCTCTTACCTCATAGGTCAATGTCACACTTTCATTCCAAAATCATGATTCGATTTTTTTTCATAAAAGCGCATTGATGGTTGTATCCGATCAACATCATGTCATTCATTCCCAGACTCGGCCCCATTTTCCTATTTATCAGTATTTAATTTTATCATTAAAGATTATCTTGATTAATTTGTTGATCATTTGTTGGTCATTGATGTAATCTATCTGCAATAATTTTTAAAGTGACGCAACAGAGATTGCACAAAGACTTTTAAGTTTACAAGGAACGTCACGATGTAAAGGGTTTACGCATCATTTACGACATTTTAACATTGTGCGCGCATCACGTATCATTTAGACAATACAAACATTGGAAAAGAACATTCGTGATAGAAAAACGACATGAAAGCCACTGCTTTGAAGTAAGTGTATAAAAGTTTGTTGACGGAATATAATGATCATTACAGGTTATGTTTTTACCTACTTTTTATCAATGAATACGATTTCATGTTTTAATGAAAAAAGCTGGAGCAGGCTTGGAGAAAATGATAATTTGGGATACTACAGAAAAAAATCTCTGTTGTCAATCAAAATTACTGTGAGCATCAAATATATGTATGAATAGAATGTACATAATATTGCACCCAAATATAAGTAGTTTAATTCTTTACACATAAGAACTGACCGTTTTCTTCGTACCTTATCATTGGTCTGCACCTAAAATTGTGGCACCGTATACAAAAGCGCCAGACGGGCACCGCACCATAATGGTTAACTTAATGTTGCATTAACTTATTGGCATTTACTCATCGTTGCCCATCTGGACGACAGCACTAGAAGTACATTTATCTTTTTAAAAAACGGAGGAAAATGCATAAATACGAAAAATGCCTCGAAACCTCTCAAAGAATTATTTGTCTAGAAACCATAGTGTTCTGCGGCTTGACACAGTTGAGAAAATGTTTCGCCTAGTTGGTTGCGACTGATGCATCAATTACTGTACTATATTTCACTTTCTGACGTACATTTTAAACAAATTAACGATGCATCTTTCTGGTTGTTCAACATTGTCATATGCAACGACTGACTTCGGTTAAAGGATCGTATGTTGAGCCCTCCTTGGCTGGGTTTTGAGTCTTCATGATACGAAATATAACGCCAGTTTTCATTTCTGTCCACTTTTAACTGAGAAGTGGGACCAAAACTTCAATCCCTATGTTCCTGGCCATCCTTTAGAACAAAGTTTAATCCAAAACAAATATAACAATAAAGTAGCAAGTTATTTTGGATTGCCACTTCCCAGAACTTATTTAGACCACATAATCTCTTCTTCTTCTAACGTTTTAATTCTGGCCTGGGGCTTTGAATTTTTTAAATGATTACGAGCCCTTGATTTCATTAAATTATCGCGTGTATTTGATTTGTACAAATGATCCCTGAGAGAGGATTTTGTGTTGTTTCCGATTGAATCCATATATAACTGAAGAAAGGCAACTAGAGAATAAAAGGTATCCGAAGGTCATTCGCAACCGTCACGTTTCCTCACTTCACAGATTAATCTTGAAATGGAAAAATCAGTTCCTTTGTCATTTGCTCAAATAAAACCAATTTAGGGCTTAATTATTACTATTGTTTGCTGTAATATCTGTGATATTGTCACTCTTTGAATAGATTCACAGTCCAACTTAATTTCGAATTAGTGCTTTCTGCAATGAAAAAAAATATTTGTTATGTCAAACGATGTGAATACATGATTTTCATCTTTGATTTTTATCATGAAAACAACAATAACCAGACCTATCACTGAATGTGATTGATACCTCCACCAGCAACTTTGACTTTTTGAAAATAAGTGTTCTGGAGAAAAATTTGAACTCAACCTAAAGTAAATGAAGAATCAACGGTATACAAAAAGTTATTTCAATTAATTGCAATTCCAACTAAGATCTTCAGATAATCTTGCTATACACCAAGTTTGATAACAATATCTCATTTCTAACTCTAGTAATTATCCAGAAACCAATTTTCTATTTTCATTAACGGTAACCTAGACCTTAATCCCAGGTGGTCCAAAAGAAATACCAACCAAGGTCTTTATATAAGCTTGCTTTACATCAAATTTGATTACAATATCATAATGATAATCTCATTCGTAACTCTAGCTATTGTCCGAAAACCATTTTTCTATACCGGTATTTGGTAAAGGCGACATTGACCTTGACCCTAGGGGCTCCAAATGCAATAACAACCGGGGTCTCCATATAAGCTTGCGATACACCAAGTTTGATTAAAATATCTCAGTCCTAAGTCTAGTTATTGTCCGGAAACCATTTTCTATATTTAGTAAGGGTGACATTGACCTTGACCCCAGGCGGTCCAAATGCATTACCAACTAGGGATTTTATATAAGCTTGCTTTATACCAAGTTTAATTACAATATCTCATTCCTAACTGGAGTAATTGTCCGAAAACTATTTTTCTATTTTTATTCCCCCTTTCGAAGAAGAGGGGATATATTGTTTTGCTTTTGCCGGTCGGTCGGTCTGTGTGTCGTTAGACCACATGGTTTCCGCTTATTAACTTTAAAACACTTTATCACAATTTCTTTATATTTACATACTGATTGGTCATAACTAGTAGATGACCCTAAAGATTTTGGGGTTACTAGGTCAAAGTCAAGGTCAATGGGCCTTAAATGTCAGAATGGTTTCCGCTGATTATCTTAAAAAGTATTCATTACAAACTTTTCATATTTTACATAGTGATTGGTCACAACTAGTAGATGACCCCTATTTATTTTGGGGAAATAAATTTAAAGGTCAAGGTTACAGGGCCTTAAATGTCAGAATGGTTTCTGCTCATTATCTTGGTTACTTTTTATTACAATTTCTTCATTTTTCACATACTGATTGGTCATAACCAGATGGTGACCCCTATTGATTAGGAGGTCACTAGGTCAAAGTCACATGGGCCTTAAATGTTGTTCATGATATTGGTTACTATTTATCGCAGTCTTCATATTTCAGATATTGATTGGTCATAACTAATAGATGACCCCTTTTGATTTTGGGGTCACTAGGTCAAAGGTAAAGGTCACAGGGGCCTTAAATGGTAGTATGGTTTCTCATTATTTTGGTTACTGTTTATCACAAAGTCTTAACATTTCACATACTTATTGGTTAACTAGTACATGACCCGTTTTGATTTTAGAGTCACTAGGTCAACGATCAAGGTCATAGGGGCCTTAAATGTTAGAATAGTTTCCGCTCATTTTATTGATTTCTGTTTATTACAGAGTCTTCATAGTCCACATGTAAATTTGTCATAACTAGTAAATAACCCATATTGATTTTGGAGTCTTTAATTCAAAGGTCAAGGTCACAGGGGCCTTGAATGTAAGCATAATATTCGCTCATTATCTTGAAAACTATTTACTACAAAGTCCTCTTATTTCACATATTAATTTGTCATAACGGGAATGTGATCATTTTTGGATCACTAGGTCAAAGTTCAAGGTCATCGGGGCCTTGAATGTGAGTATGGTTTCCGCTTATTATCTTGAACGCTTTTTATAACAAAGTCTTTAAATTTCACATAGTAATTGGTATTAACTAGTAGATGAGCCCTATTGATTTTGGGGTCAGTAGTTCAGAGGTCAAGGACATCGAGATCTTTAATGTCAGAATGGTTTTCGCTTGTTATCTTGAAAACAATTTATCAAAAAGTCTTCACATTTCAAATATAGATTGGTCATAACAATTAGATGACCCCTATTCATTTTAGGGGACCTCGGTTAAAGGTCAAAGTCAAAGGGTCCGTAAATGTCAGAATTGTTTTACGTGAGTCAAGGGATAGTAAGGGGGCATATGTGCTGTTCGACATTTCTTGTAAGTAATTTTGACCTTGACCCCATGGGGTCCAATTGAAATACCGAAATCGGGTCTTCATATAAGCTTGTTATACACCAAGTTTGATTACAATATCTCATTCCTAACTCTAGTGATTGTCCGGAAACCGTCCAAATGCAATACCTGACGGGTTTCCACATAAGGTTGCTATATACCAAGTATGATTACAATACTTCATTCCAAACTCTAGTTATCGTCGAGACCGACCGACAGACCGATCGACTGGCCAACAAACTGACTCCTATATGCCCCCTAAACTTCGTTTGTTGGGGATATAAAATTACAACAACCAAGAAACTATGGAATACTAAAGGAAGTATTAAAGTTTATGTTTTATTTATTTTCCTTTATTAACGATTTACGATGAAAACTTTGAAATTTTATAGTTCAAATTGAAAATGAAAAGCAATTTATTTCAGACTTTTTGTTTTTATGTGTACAGTTAAGCTTAATTTAAACCAGGTACTAGCTGGTTAAGCATTATTACGGCATGCCCAGTTACTAGAGTCGGTGGTGAAGTGGTTATGTGGTCTAACTTTAAACCAAGGCAGACCGTTCGAGTCCTGCTGGGCCGTCTTATAACATTAACACCATAAATAAATATTGAAATGAAAATATTTTCGTTTTTGTATCAAATATCAATACTAATAAGATAGAAACAAATAAGCAAGGGGAAAATGAAATGGTTACTTACTGGTTTCTTTGTAGACATTAAATTTCCTCGTGAGCAATAGCTTAATAACAAATAAGACGGAAAACCAATCGCATCTTCACGTTCCTTTCTATGGAACTTCGATAAGGACCTCAAACAGAAAAATAACAATATCAAAACAGATACGGTATTTCGGTCTAACATACGCTGAGAAACTAAACATGTAAACGTGTTGGAGTTGTTGACTTAATTATTCCAGTATATCTAGTAGATGTCGACCTAAATTAAGTTAATTATAACCTGGCCTGGCACCTGGCATAGTGGTAGGAGTTGGAAGGAACATGGTATGCAAGCAAAGGGTGTTTCATAAGTCAGAAATGGCTGGCCCTTACAATAGGGGTGACACTATAATAAACAAGACCTTAACCTTTTAACCTTTTTATACACTATGCAATTCCCAGTCCAAAGAGATATTTAACTGCACAACAAATATGAAATGCACATGTTACGAAAGCATATCATTTTTAATAGGAAAACATTCAACATATTTCAAAGTATTCGGCATTGCCGCGCAAAACGAAGCGGTGCCATGGTTCTGCATGATGCGCAAAGTAATCTTGATTTTACAACATAAATTCACACTATTTTTAACACTGGTATGTGATAAGCTCATGTCAATGATTATTGTGATCATTTGCTATATTTTCTTTTCGAAAAAGGATAAATAATGTTTGCACCAAGAACACACATGTGTCACATGTACAAATGTATTAAAAGTGTTTTCATTAGTTTCAGGTTATTACAGCCAAATACTGTTGCACACTGTATAGAACACGTTGATGATACATTTAAACCTTTTATGCTCCCCGAAGGGAGACCATATAGTCGCCGCATTGTCAGTCTGTCCGCATGTCCTTCTGTCCATCTGTCCGTCCGATGTCTTGTCCATTGCATAACTTAAAAATTCTTGGAGATAATTTGTTTTACTAGTAATTTCACACAGTGGTACAGGACATCGAGGTGGAATGCAATGTTAAAAAACCATAACTCTATTTTGCTCCGTTTTTGAATTATCTCCCATTTTAGAAAAATCTTGTCCGGGACATTACTCTAAAACTGTAAGTGATACCAACATAAAACTTTGTAGATAGATAGATCTCAATGGGTAGCTGTGTAGTGCAAAAGATCCGTAACTCTGCCATACCTAATTTTGGAGGTATTGCCCTTTGTTCATTTTTACATTTTGTGCTTTGTCCGGCACATAACTCTAAAATTATAAGTGATATCAAAATTAAACTTTGTAGGTAGGTGGAAGTGCAGTGCAAAAGAACCATAACTCTGCTCAGTCCTGTTTTTGAACTATCTCCCCTTTTAGAAAAATCTTGTCCGGGACATGACTCTTAAACTATAATAGATATCAACATGGAACTTTGTAGGTAGATAGATCTCAATGGGTAGCTGTGCAATGCACAAGAACCGTAACTCTGCCATGCCTTATTTTGTAGTAATATTGCCCTTTGTTCATTTTTACACTTTGAGCTTTGTCCTGAACATAAGTCTAAAATAATAAAAGATATCAACATGAAACTTTGTTAGTAGATAGATCTCATTGGGTGAAAGTGCAGTGCAAATGAACCATAACTCTGCTCAGACCTTTATTTGAATTATATCCCCTTTTAGAAATATTGTTTTCCAGCGTAACTCTAAAACTACAATTGATATCAACTTGAAACTCTGTAGGTAGATAGATCTCAATGGGTAGCTGTGCTGTGCACCCTAACTCTGCTATGCCTAATTAGCTCGACTATTCGATAAGAATAAGTAAAGCTATTGCAGTCACCCGAGCGTCGGCGTCCGCGTCGGCGTCCGCGTCGGCGTAACCACTTATGTTAAAGTTTTTGTAATAGTTCAAATATTTTCAAAGTCCATTGACATATGGCTTTGAAACTTTGCACACTTGTTCACCATCATGACCCCAACCTGTAGACAGGAGGAGGTAACTCTATCAAGCATTTTGACAGAATTATGCCCCTTTTTCGACTTAGAATTTACGTTAAAGTTTTTGTAATAGTTTAAATATTTTCAAAGTCCATAGACATATGGCTTTGAAACTTTGCACACTTGTTCACCATCATGACCCCAACCTGTAGACAGGAGGAGGTAACTCTATCAAGCATTTTGACAGAATTATGCCCCTTTTTCGACTTAGAATTTACGTTAAAGTTTTTGTAATAGTTCAAATATTTTCAAAGTCCATTGACATATGGCTTTGAAACTTTGCACACTTGTTCAACATCATGACCCCAACCTGTAGACAGGAGGAGGTAACTCTATCAAGCATTTTGACAGAATTATGCCCCTTTTTCGACTTAGAATTTACGTTAAAGTTTTTGTAATAGTTCAAATATTTTCAAAGTCCATTGACATATGGCTTTGAAACTTTGCACACTTGTTCAACATCATGACCCCAACCTGTAAACAGGAGGAGGTAACTCTTTCAAGCATTTTGACAGAATTATGCCCCTTTTTCGACTTAGAATTTACGTTAAAGTTTTTGTAATAGTTCAAATATTTTCAAAGTCCATTGACATATGGCTTTGAAACTTTGCACAACCCAACCTGTAAACAGGAGGAGGTAACTGTATCAAGCATTTTTTTTACTATCAAGCACTAAGAATAGTCGAGCGTTGCTGTCCTACTGACAGCTCTTGTTTTGGAATTATTGTTCTTTGTTCATTTTTACACTTTGAACTTTGTCCAGAACATAGCTTAAAATCATAAGAGATATAACTCTAAAATTATAAGAGATATCAACATGGAACTTTGTAGGTACATAGATCTTATTGGGTAAAAGTGCATCTTAAAAGAATCATAATTCTGATCAGCCCAGTTTTTGAATTATCTCCCTTTTAGAACAATCTTGTCAGAGACATAACTCTATAATTATAAAAAATATCAACATAAAACTTTGTAAGTAGTTAGATCTCAATGAGTAAATGTGCAGTACATAAAAGCCGTAACTCTGCTTTGCCTAATTTTAGAGTTATTGCCTTTTATTTTTTTACACTCTGTACTTTGTCCGGGATATTACTCTACAATTATCAGAAATATCGACATGAAAAATCTTAGTTGAATTATCTTCCCTTTTAGAAAATATTGTCCGAGACATAACTCAATGATTATAAGAGATTTCAACAAGAAACTTTGTAGATAGAAAAATCACAATAGGTTGATATGCAATGCACAAGAAACGTAACTCTGCTTTGCCTTATTTTGGAGTTATTGCCCTTTGTTCATTTTTACATTTTAAACTTTGTCAGGGACATAACTCGGAAACCATAACAGGTATCAACAAGAAACTTAGTAGGTAGATATATCTCATTTATTAGAACTCAAGTGCAAAGGAATTATTGCACTTTGAACTTTGTCCAGGGACATAACTCTGAAACTACAAGAGGGCTAAAACCGGGCTCTTTTTAAATTTTAGCAAACTTTAGCAAAAACACATGAATTAGAAATTTTCGCATTTCTGAACTTACCTCTTGCCCTTTCTGAAAAATTGCATAAGAATAATACGGTGCTGCTTGCAGAATGATAAATTAACGACGGTACGCGGAAAAAATGATGCGTAACCCTTGACACCGTGAGCATGCGTCAAGATGGTTGGGTTGTTTTACCTATTTGTTAAAAGATAAAATTTAGAACTTCTTGGAAAATATTGTGAGCGATATAGTCGTGACCCACTTGTACTATCTGCGACCAAAGCAGAATCCGTATTTTCTATTTTGATTAATGATTTTTGGACATTGACAGTAGCTTGCGTTATTCACAATTTGCCTTGTTGAACTAAGAGTTTAATATTTCACTATATTGTTTGGATATCTTTATACCATTTGGCAATTTCTGCTACTATTTTTGTATAGATATTCTTAAAATGGACAACAACAGCGACGAAGTTACAATAATGGATTCGGGAAATATGTATGAAGGGGATTCCTCTCTAGGTACATTAGATGCTCAATCTGATACAAGTGATGAAAACGAAATTTTTCATGAATGTTCTCAAATTGATGGAAGTGTCGAAAATACCGATGACCAGAATGCAAATACAATTGGGGATATTGAAGCAGTACGTGTCGGAAACATCCACATTATAGGAAGTGAAAATGATAAAGAGCCCGAAACATACCCAGTACCAATAGAAATACCTGTGTCTTCTGACGTTACAGTCAAAGATGAAGTATCTCCTACTGAGTTTGAAACGATACAAGATTTAAAGTCATCAAGAGAAAGAGATTATTTTCAATTTTGTGACCTTTGTAAAGAAGATGACAATTACATAATCTCTACTGCATATTGTGCTAAATGCGATGAATCATATTGCTATGATTGCACTATACTTCACCGTTTACAAAAGGCAACAAAAAGTCATGAAATTGGTCCTCCAAAATCAAAGAAATCGTCTTTTGTTTGTGAATTATGCAAACATCTCGATATTAAGATTCATGCAGTGGCTAGTTGTAGAGATTGTGAGGAACTTTACTGTGACACATGTTCAACTGCTCATAAACGACAAAAAGCGACAAAAAATCATCCGATTTCATGTCACGATAGACTAGCCGAGAGAGGAACGTGCGAGCCTTGTAATGATAAGGGGACTACTGGAAAAACTGCTTGCCACATTTGCGTTGATTGTGATGAAGTACTGTGCTTCGACTGTTTTACTGTCCATATAAAACAAAAAGCCACCAGGGAACACAAAGTCGTTTGCTCGGAAGTAACTGACCAAGTAACTGACCAAAACTACTGTCAGCCTTGTTATAATGGAGGCATGAACGTCACACCTGACATGTACTGTAGAGCATGTTCAGTTAAATTATGCAGTATATGTGCTGATGGACACAGAAGAGATGAAACATCCCAAAACCATAAAGTAATCACCATACCCAAATTTGTTGGTGCTGAACAAGGAAGGTAAGAACCGCTTCAAATATTATCTAGAATGTTTATAGTCGTTGTGTTTACACTGTTTCGGCAATGATAGGATTTGTTGTATTTGAACGGAAAGGTTTTTTTCTCCTTGCACGAAATAACAGTTGATATTGATATTAGACACCCTGTATATCCCGAAACAAAATGAGATTTTCCAATAATTTTTCTGTTTATAAGTTTATTAGCTCACCAGAACCGACGGTTCAGGGTGAACTTTTGGTAGTATCAAAGGGGGTGGGGTGCTCCGTCGTTGGTCGTCCGTCATCATGTGTCAACATTCATCGTCTTTTCTGAAACTTTACTTCGAATTAAGTCTGTAACACCCTTGTGACAGTCACACTTTAATTTGCTCATATCATTTCAATAGACACATTTTAGGAGTTAACAGAGGTAAAAAATAGAAAAACCTTAAAAAAAAAATTTTTGTACTAAACTAGTTGATTTGATTGATGATCACCAAACTTTGTCTGTAGCAATTCTAGGTAGTCTATTATCAAATTTATTAAACTAATTTGAGCTAGAAATAGAAAAAAAACGTAAGCATCCTTTTCTACTGAACTAATTTATGGATGCTCACCAAACTTTGTCCTGATATGTATACATGTATAGTAAAAACTTAAAATCTTCTTGTGAAAATCCAAAAGAGGCAGAGCTTAGATATTTGACACAAAACATCTTCTAGTGGATGTCTACCAAGTTTGTTCAAATAAAAGTCATAGGGTCAAAATTGACCCCACCCCACGGGGTCATTGATTTTCCTTTTATATACATGTATATGGTAATCCTACACTATCTAGCAAAATCGTCTGACCCGAAAGATTTTTGGTGATTTTCTTGGTAAATATTGATGAGGTCACTGAATAGTAACTACATGTATATCGATTTCAGTACAATGCGTTAGCATTTTCACATTTTCAGCTCAACAGGAAAGGAAATCTAAAGACAAACTAAATAAATCTGAATGATGAAAATGACATTTAAACACTTAAAATGATATCAGTCTGCACAATTTCAATGACTTAAGATAAATACCACTACATACCCTACCTACTTTAAACGGACATGTTACCCTAACCACAACATTTTCTTTGCCTTTAATATGAGGCATGACAGTATTGAAACCCAAAACTCTTAAGAATCAAATTGTCTGAAGTCTACAGCCTTTACAAAGCAAACACAAAATTGTTGAAATGAAAAAAAAAAACATCATATACGTATAACCGGTATTTTCCTCTCATGAATGTTTCGCACCAAATAAAATCTTCAAAAAATAGTGTATTTGCTTACCTCATACAGTAGGCAAATACATTTTACAAATAAAAATGTAAACGATTGTCTACAGAAAAAGCAGTTGCTCACTTGAGTTGAAAATGTGCTGGTCAAATAATCACGATATTTACTGTTCCGCCAGACATTATTTCATGAAAAAATCGATACCTTTCCCCTCTTTTCTGCAGTTTTTGATTTTTGAATTGTCAAGTTGCTAAACTGTTATCCTGATTAAAAATTGATTAAACGAAGAAAAGAAATTAAAAGGCTCTAGTAGACTAGTATGTTTTTGTTTTTGGGTTTTACGTCACATCGACACAGTATAGGTCATATAGCGACGTTCCAGCTTTACTGGTGGAGGAAGACCTCAGATGCCCTTCCGTGCATTATTCAGGCACGAAGGGGAATCTGAGAAGAACCACCGACGTTCCGTTAGCTAGCTGGATAGCTTCGTCACATGAAAGAATCCAAAGTCCCTGTCGGGATTAGAACCCACAGCGGTGAGGGGCAAGTGGTTTGAAGTCAGTGACCTTAACCACTCGGCCACGGGCTCGAGTATTAAAAAGGAAATTAGTAAGCGTTAGTTGACATGCTTTACTTGCCAGATGTACAGTTTCACTGAACTTAGAATTGAATAAAACAATTAGTGTCGGAAAACTATATAACTAGAGGGGCAAATTGATGTCGAAATGAAATTGCCTTTTGAAAAAATGTTTCTCGCACTAAAAAACAGTTGTTTCTTGTGAGCGATTCAGGGTCATCATGGCCCTCTTGCCTTGTATTAGCCCAACCTATTTACGGAGAAAAAAATAGTTATTGTTTCAGTCATGTCATGTTTCAGTCATTGATGTTGTTGCCGTTGCCGTTTCGCAAAAAATTAACGTTTTTCAAAACATTTAATTAAAAGTTCTTTGTATATTGTCTCATGCTTGGCGACAACAGTCCTTGGAACAAGGCCTTCAAATAGACTAAACTAGACCTTTATTCATAAATGACCTTGACCCTGTAGGTCAAATGTCTAAATTTTGCTTGATGTTTGCTGATGTTTGTATTATTGGCTATAATTTTGTTATTTTTGAGTAGATTGTCTTCAAACTTGAACACAACATTGACCTTTAATATAAAAATATTTCTCTTTTTTGCTGTAATTGGCTATAACTTTGTTAATTATAAATGGTTTGACTCGAAATTAAGACACAAAATGTTTGAGGATGAGACCTTTATAAATGGCGTTGACCTTGAAGGTTACATTACTGAATTTTCACTGATTTTTGCTATTTTTGACTGTAACGAGGTTTCATTGTCATTTATTTGTTATTTATGTATGGATTAAATTATACTTGGACAAAACAAGACCTTTTACAAAACAAACATATTGAATAATATTGATGTGACCTTTACCTTGAAGTAATCTTTACCGTCAAGGTCAAATTAATGAACTTTCCATGCTTTCTTCTGTTACTGGCTAGAACTTATTATGTAAATGCATTTATTACATATTTTGATACAACATCTTTTAGGTTAGGATAATTTAGATGTGACCTTGACCTTTATTTGACTTTGACCTTCAAGGTCAAATTTAATAAATTCTCACACTTTTCCTATAGCAAACAGATTTAGACGATATGCATTTTTTATGTAAAATTGATCATTGAAAATTTATTTTACTACTCGTTCATACTCGAAGAAAACATAAGTGTGACTAGATCCATCTATTGCAAATAAAAAGAAAAGAAAAACTTTTTTCTTTCTTTAATCTTATTTTTTTTAAGATTTGTTTAAACCTTTTATTTTTTGCTTTTAGAAGATGTAAAAAAAGTCGAGAGTTGCCCCCTACCGGTGATGGACTTTTTGTTTTTTTTTCTTCATATTATCTGGTATAAGTTTATGTACTTCCCATCTATTTTCAGGCTTAATGCAAATGAAGTAACTCAAGAAGATATACATATACAATCTAAAACTATGCAAGATAACCTGGTGCGTAACATTTCAAGAGTTTTTTTTACATGAGAGGACTTGAATCTTAAGTTTGGATTTTAATTCCAAATGATGTAGGTCTATACAAATGGAATGAGTACAAAAATTCATCAAATTGGGCTACATCGCAATAAATGTCGATTTTCATTTTAATTCAGAATATATTCTTCAATATCTTTCCCTATGATTTAATTTTAAGTGCCCAAGTTGATATATGTAAGCTTTTCAAATTTAATGCCTTGAATAGATTTATATCTCTGTGGAGCTCCTTTTACTAAGATATTTACAAGATTCTATTTCATAAAAGTATTTTTACAAATTAAAATGCAATAATCATTCTGATAATACGAGCTCAATGTAAAGTTAATGGAATTACAATTGCGTTAATCAAATCTGAAATAACAAAATTAAACTTCAATTTTATCAATGATAAACGTGGTAAGATAATAAAGTTAAAAAGACACTTTTTTTGTGAAAATTTGTGACAAATAGAAATGTGTCTGTTTTCTGTTGAAACATTTAAAATTCTAGTTGTTGATGATTTTGATTATATGAAATCAAATTTTGCTGTCCATAACAAGATTTTTTTTCATCGGCTATTTCATCAGGCATCGTAAATAAAATAGTTAAGATTTACAGTTTACGGCAAAATTTTCCATTTTATACACAAAATTAACTGGTATTTATTTCACATGTTCATTTTTATCTTTGCCAATATCTAACAAATTTCTCTAAAAATAACTTAAAAGCGCTTTATGTACAGTCTTGAGCATCTACTGTAATGAAAGCCCTAATACGTTATTTCTGTACAGCTAATGCGCAGTCTCTGATAGGATATTTTATGGCTTAATTCTTCTTAAAAGTTTTGGCGACTTTTAAGAGTACTTACATTGATTTCATAAATATATAGTTATAAATTAAATTGTGAATTTTTCTTCATATTTTTTGTGAAAAGGACGACTTTTTGCGTCAAATTATGTGGACAAAAATCACTGCAAGGTATGTAATAGCTTAAAATTTATACTTGCAGAAACCAGGCATACCTTGCTTAGTTGATCCTGTAAAACTTGATTGCGTTTGTCTCGCCTGGGAACCTCCAAAACAGGTATTTAAAAACATGAATTATCAGCTTCGCTACAAAGAGGTAGATTCGAATTCAAAATGGATTCTTTCAACTCAAGTTGCTACCCAACCATCCATAATAGTATGCAATTTGAAGTCAAATACAAAGTATGTTTTTCAAGTACGGATGGTAAGTGATGAAGAAGAAGGACCGTACAGTGATGCAAGCAATATCGTAGAAACAATGCTGTCGGCTGCTGCTCGATCTCTAGACTTTATGTATGAAGTTAATCGAAATGATACAGAAATGCTTTTGAAAAGGCTACCTCTGCAAGAAAACAAAAAGGCTCGAAACCTAACTGAGAAGACAAGAAAGCTGATAATCGGTGTGTTGTCACGATTTATAAAAATATATTCATTCAATTTTTTTATTCCAGCTACGAATAATTCTAAGAATAATGTGATTTCAAATGAATTGCTTCTCATTACCATAACTGATAACTTGAGCTATCACTATGATCCATACCCAACCAGCAAACCTACATTTTTTAAAAATAAGTAGTCTGAAGCAAAATTTGAACTCGACCGACATTTTATGATAGTTATCTGCGTTGCAATAATCATTACAATAAGCTGATGTTTTTTTCCGAAACTATTTTTTCCAGTAACATTAAGAACCTTAAATATTGGGAGTCTAACAACAATCCCAAGTGATATCTCCACATTAGTCTGCTATATACCAAAGTTTATTATCTCATTGCTAACTTTAGTTATCCTGCGGAAACCATTTTTCTAATTTTAGTAACAGTGACCTTTACGTTGACATCAGGGGATCCAATAAGCAATCCAAACGGGGTATTCTTATATGCATGATTACATTATATCATTCTTTACTCTTGTTATTGTCCGGAAACATTTTTTTCTATTTTAAGTAACAGTTACCTTGACGCAAGGGGGTACAAAAGCGATCCTTATCATGGTCTTTATATAACCTTTCTATATAACAAATTCGATTACAATTTGTCATTTGTCAATAACTCTAGTTATCTTTCGGAAACCATTTTTCTATATAAAATAGCAGTGGCCTTGACCCAAAAAGCAATTCTACTGCTAATCTTCATACTTTTAGGAAACAACCTTTTGGGCAAGACCTTGTAAAAGGTTGAACTGATCTCATATGACATTGACTGTCAAGGTCAAATTATCTTATTTTGGTTAAGTGTCATAATTTTGTTATTTATGTATGGTTTTGAGTTGTACTTGAACAAAACAAGACTTGTGACCAAACAAACATATTGAATAATTTAGATGTGACCTTGAACTTTTATGGAACTGGACAATCAATGTCAAATTAATGCAATTTTCTTATTTCTAAAAGTCGGTTTAAAAACAGGTCGTATTAAAGTTTCTCCCCTGGCGGGCAGTCAGGCGGACGGCGTCCAATATTGTCCGGAGCATATCTCTTATACACATGGAGAAATTTTAATGAAACTTCACTAAATATAACTGATATATTCACGACTTTAAGAAGCGCACATAAACCAGGTCTCTATGTCAGAGGTCAAGGTCAAACTTTAAGGTCTTTGAAAAACGTTTTCCCGGAGCAAAGCTTATACATACATAAAGGGACTTCAATATCACTTGGCACACATGTTCACCATTGTAAGGCAGAATGTCGCATGCAACCATTGGGTCCCTGTGTCCGAGGTCAAGGTCACACATAGGTGTCAAAGTTCAGATGAAAATATCATTGTGCATTCGGAACGTTTAGTCATCATTTATTGAGGGTTTGAAACACTAATGGTCATTATACTGATTGCGGGTGTGAAACATGTGATATATGTTAATATATATAAGGTCAAGGTCACTAAAGATGATAAAATAGAGATGAGATTTTGTCTAAAAGATATCTCCTGCACGCATGGTTGGATTCTAATGAAACTTCATAGAGAGATATATTCATGTGTCACGTGCATGAACCAGGTCTAGATTAAAGGTGAACGTCACACTTAGAGGTCATTGAAAAATGCTTGTTCGGAGCAAAACGTTTACATTCATTTTGGGATTTTAATGCTACTTGACACAAATTTTAACCATTTTGAGGTCAAGTATTGCGCCCATAATCCTGGTCCCTGCTACCAAGTTCAGTGTGACAGAGGTAAAAGTAAAGATAAATCAGATGTGTACAGGGACCATTTAGTCATCATTTATTGAAGAATTGTAACACAAATGACAACTACATGACAACAAGTATGACATATGTAATTTAAGTTAATATTTGCATTGCCAAAGTCACTAGATATGATCAAAGTCTTTACCTTTACCAGGTTTTGATCAACTCATACTTCAAGTGTCAAATTGCCCTGACACGGGCGTCGTGGGTTTTTACTGATATGTATATAATAAACACTTGAAAACCTTTCCCTCGAAACCGCAATGGCTAGCCTTAATGCAACATTGTCTGATGCGTCTTTATATGGTATGGTCGGTATTTACGTAGTTTGTTTAAATTACAGCCCTTGTTTAAATTGTACCCGGGTGTCATGGGTTTTCATTATATGTATATAATAAGAACTTAACAACTCTTCTCCTGAATCTTCACAGGATATAGCTTAGCTATTTGGCATTAAACGTAAAGTTGACTTCTCATTTTTGTTGCCAGTTGACCGATGACTTTTCTTTTGTATTCAAGCTTTAGCTGTAAAATTATGACTATATTTACAGTTTTAGATCGAGAATTCAATTTAATATTAGTTGACAAAGATTTTGACCTAGTGACCAACATTTTGTAAATAAAGCTACAGCTATATAGGATTGTTTACAAAGTTTCAGATGTAAAATTTTAAAAACTTTTATCTAGATTTTGTCCCATTGTCTTCCTTTTTATAATGATACTACAGTACAGCATTGCAATTTATTTTAAATACAATCAATTTCAGATGCAGATTTGAACATGAATTTCAGTTGACCTAGATTGTCAGCAAATGACGTACATATTTGTATTTATAGCTATAAATTTGAAATTTGGACTATGTCCAGTTTCAGATGCAGATTTGAACTTTTTTAGCCCTAATATAATCTGCGATATAGGGATTTTTTGGTCTTCTTTGTCACTTTTGATGCCATATCGAGTAGTTTTCTTTTCTCTCATATGACATATTTATTCAGTTTAACTCAGATAATGTTTATATAAATATTGACATATTTCAGGTGAGAAGAACAAAACAAACGTGCAAGAAAGAACAGTTATGTTAGTTGGTGCAACAGGAACTGGTAAAAGCACATTGGTAGACGGTATGATAAATTATGTTCTTGGAGTAAGTTGGAGTGATCCATACAGGCTTACACTAATTGATTTGGAAGACGAGGAAATTAACAGAGATACCAACCAGGTACTATAAATAATTTGCAATTTAAGCTCGAATTTGTATAAAGATAAGACCTTAGTGTATATTAAAGAGATACTCAGGCAAATTTATGGAAAAAATATCAAATTTATCTTATGTACTGGAATCACGCTAAAATGACATTTGTAAAAGTCCCAGCAAGATTTTCTGTAAATATTCTATATATTTTAGGTTTGAAGCGTAAAAATATCTATATATGTTGAAAGAAATTTAGACGCCGACAGAATCCCCCAAGTAGTTTTAAAACTAGTAATGTGACTTAAACAAACCATGGAAGTAACAATAACAGATATTGCAGATGTAGTATTATTGAAACAAACATAAATCATTCATTTGACATGTTCTTTAACGTTTCCAGATATCACTGTGACAATTATTGTGAAATCTTAACGCTCTAACCTGACCCGCAAACCACCATTTTATTCTTTATAAGGAGAAAGGTTTTGTTTCTGTGACTGCCTAGTGTATTCATTTTGAGGACATTTACAGATAAATGACTGAAAAATTCAAAACAAAGAAGTGAAAATTTTGCCTGTGTATCCCTTTAAACTCAAATTTTCCTACCTCATTTATGATTTGGAACTTGAATGTTAAATGATTGCATTTTCACTGGTTTTTGCTTTAATTGACTTTTACTCAGTAATTAATAAATGGGTTATCTTCATTATACAAAACAACCTTTTGGATAAGATCTTTTAAAAAACTGAACTCGACCTTGACCTTGAGCTTGAAATGACCTTGACCGTCAATGTCAAATTATTGAAATTTGGTTAAATTGTCATAATTTTGTTATTTATGTATGGCTTTGTTTTATACGCAGACAAAACAAGACGCTCTACTAAACAAACATACTTCAGATAAGAGCTTGACCTTTAAATGACATTGTCCTTAAAGGTTAAATTCATTAAAGTTTCTTATTTGAACCTATTGCAATGAGCTTTGGACCAAATGTACAGTTTGAGATTGATATCAGCTACCCTAGATAATTCGGCAACGTGACCTTCTTTCTTGTACTTTGATGTACAGATTTGGAATATGTTCACAGTTTAAGATGTAAAACTGACTTTTTCAGCTGACCTAAATTTTAATAAAGTGACCTACTTCCTTGTGCTTCGATGTACAGTTATGAAATTTTGACCTAGTGCAAATACTTTTTTATGTAAAACTGAACTTTGATATCAGCTGACCTAGCTGTCTTTTTAGGGTGATTTGAGTACATATTATTATTTTAATATTGTTGTCATTAAGTCATTCAGTATCCTTTTAAGCTGTGATTTAGGTAATAACAGAATTTGTCCCCAAAATACGATATCTTGTATTTTTCGTTCTCACAGGCTGTTTCGCAGACACAGTGGATAACGTGTTACACTATTAATCCTTTACAAGGTAGCCGGTTGGATTACACCTTGAACATCATTGACACACCAGGGTTTGGAGATACTCGTGGCATTGAGAGAGATAGGGAAATAATCAGTCAGATTCGAACATTATTTTCAAACGAAGGTGAAACTGGTATAGTATTCATTGATGCAATATGTTTCCTGGTTAAAGCACCTGATGCACGTCTGACACCAACACAAAGGTATATTTTCAACGCAATCATGTCACTGTTTGGACATGATATCAAGGACAACTTTTGCATTTTAGTGACATTTGCAGATGGAAAGAAACCACCAGTTCTTTCGGCTTTGAGGGAGGCAAAATTACCTCATGAGCTTTATTTTCCATTTAACAACTCCGGTCTCTTTGCAGAAAACACTAGTGAAAAGGCTTCCAATTTCGCTTCTATGTTTTGGGAAATGGGGTGTGACAGCTTTAGGTTGTTCTTTGATAAACTTAAGACAATGAACACAAAAAGTTTACAACTGACGAGGGATGTTCTTGAACAACGAGAGCTTATAGAATTAAACATAGAAAACCTCCAGCCAAAATTAAACGCTGGTCTCCATAAAGTAGATGAAATAAGTAAAGAAATGAAAATACTTGAGGAATTCAAAACACAAATAGATGATAACAGTGACTTTGTGTATAAGGTTGAAGAAACAGAACAAAGGCAAATTGATTTACCAAAAGGACAGCACGTTACTAACTGTCTCACCTGTAACATTACATGTCACAAAAAGTGCAAAATAGCAAATGATGAGAAGAAAAGAAAATGCCAAAGCAATTTGGATGTAAGGATTTGTACGCCCAAGCCAAAAAAATCTTTTTGAATATCCCATAGGAATACTCCCAATACATATTTGGAATATGTTACTGGTTCCCAAAAAGGAAAAAGACATATCCGGAAAAGCTCCCCCAAAAATACAGCCGCCGCTAAAGGCGAGAAAATAACCCGCGGTCAATTTGGTTTAATTGATCGGGAATGCAAGAAGAATTAAGGCATTGATTCCCTTGAAGAGGAAAATCTTTAGTTTTTGTAATGGGGAAAAATAAACGAAGGTAATAAGTTTTGAGGCAGATAGATTAGCGCTACGTCCAATCCTTAAGCTTAAAGTTGAACTTATTGATTTGTCATTAGAATGTGGAAAAAACGAAGGACAAACGGCAGTCGGGGTTTCAGGGGCGCAAATTTCCTTCGCTTATGCAATGCCCGGGAAAAAGGCAACCATTGGGAAGAAAGATTTTTTGTTGAACGTTTTACAACAAGGTTTACAGACACCAAGAAAATATATTCGGCTCAAGAAATCTTCACATACGGTAGTAAAAGGCGAAAAAAGAAGGGAAAGTATGGCATTTTTACATCGATTGCCAATTACTTTTGAGATATGATCAAAGTAAAAAAAGTCATGAACTTTAATTTATTATAAAAAGATTACAAAATATGAATAATACTTTTGTAATAAATTAATAAATGAATGGAAGCGGGCTAAAACCGAAAGTAATAAAATTAGTTTACTTAGGACTTCTCCTACATATAAGTAGTGAACTTTGATAGGATTCCTCATGATAGATGAGTAACACTGTTTAAAAATGGTATTTTAGGTTAATACTAAGAGTTAAAGAGAGTGGTTTTATAAGTCCCCTACCGTTCCCCTTCCGTCAGTACATTAGTCCACAAAACTGGATCCCGTGATATCGCAAAAAAGCACTTGAAAATATTATTTTGAAACTTGATATATATATGGTTAGATAATAGTCCGGAGATTATGCACGTCTTTTTTCCCTTTGCTATAGCAACAAATAGACTGAAAAAGGTGAATTTAACACAAAAACTGGATCCCGCGATAATGCAAAAAGTACTGAAAATATTTTTGAAACTTCAAGTTTAAAATATACATTCATTATCAACACCTACACCATATGTGATTTGATTATAATTCTAGCGCCTGGGTTTCCATGATTATTTTTATTTAAAAATTGAAATATATTTGGAAATTGTTTGTGACTATATTCGAAAATTGTAATGTTTTCACTTTTCTTCTTTGTGACTATAAATGGTATCCTTCTAAAAATTTAAGATAATTATGTCTCCCAAAATGTTTTGGAGACATATTGCTTTTGCCTTCGCCGTCTGTCTGTCCGTCCGCACTAAGCTTGTCCGTCCTTCACAGGTAAAAAACTGGTGGGATTTCAACCAAACACCAAACTTTGCAGGAGTGATCAGTAGCATCCCTAGTTGTGAACATCACCGGCACGTTTCGCTTTGCTACACAAAATCTCCGCCAGAGCTAAAAATAAGAAATCTTGTCCGTCATTCACAAGTCAAACTACTGTGGGATTTTAAATTTACAGGAGTGCTCGGTACTATCCCTTGCTGTGCATTTCGCTAGCACGTTTCGCTTTGCTGCACAAAATGACCGCCAGAACTATAAACTTTGTCCTGCTAAGTCAAGTTATCACAGGAGTGACCATACAAAGTTTTGGGAGAAATATGTTTTTGTGACCAAAACCGTTCTAGTTGTTCTTGTTTCAATCGCATCATGTATGACAATGTTCATAAGTCTAGCATCTTTCTTTCAAGAGTTATCTCCTCTTCAGTTTTTAAGAATTTTGCTTTTAAAATGTTATATTCTGGTAACAACAAGGGATGTTTAAAGATTTATCCTCAGAGTGTCTGCCAGTCCGTCTGTCTGTTCGTTCCTAAAAACTGTCTCGTGAGATAATATTTTAGAACTTGAAACTTTCAACAAATTAACTTACAATATACAAAAAGTTGAAACATTAGTTATACAAATTCATCCTGTGAAAATTGGACCTTTTGATTATCTGTTGTATAAACATAATATCCTTACTAGGCAGGGGAACTATGATACAGACAAACTAAGGACCCAAATGATTTAAGTTAATTAATGTCATTCAGTCATTCATTCAGTGGCCAAAGGCTTTTTTCTGAATGTCGCTTGGGTTCTGACCGGAAGGGGACTTATGTTTTGCTTGTAATTCTATGATAATTGCTTGTTTTATTTTCAAAATAGCTTTTAATCACCATGATGTAAATATTATAGAAATTAATGCAAATGAAGTATTTGTTTATCATTAGTCATTTTTAATCACACATTTTCTGCTTATTTGTTTTAAAACACATTGTTAAGTATTTACAAAAGTTTCCTAATATTGTTTTGAATTCTAAAACACTGTCCAACGTTGCATGGTTGATTATATTGCATTTGATTGCATTTTGTTATAAACTTGTTGTAACCAAAGAAACAAAGATAATTACATCATAACATTTGAGAGGAAAAAATATGAGATTATAGAAATAGAAAGTGAACAAGAGCAGAATCATCATAGAAGGGGCGAACTTCATTTCATATTTCTATCGCGTTTCTGACGTTTACTTTGTATCATTTTTTGTATATGTATACAGATGTACTAGTATATGAACCAATAAATTAAGCGATGGCAATTATGGCAACAGTTTTCCTCGATGCTGAAATTGTAAATGATTTGCTCTAACATACACTGCTAATTTGTTAGATGTTTTTGTTGTTGTTGTTTTTCAAATATTATTTCAAGTGTTATCATTGAATATAGATGCTCGGTATATTATATTTCAACAATATATTGATATTGCAGGCTTTTTTTCTTGTATCTTATTAGATCAACTTATTTATTTATTTATTATTTTTTTTTTGAAAAAAAAAGTATTGTTACAATCATGGCCGCGTTGACTTTGCCGCAAACTTTATCTTTGATCATAACTTTTTAAGTTCTCAGTGTATTATCTTCATACTTTGCCACAACAACCCTTGGGAAAAGACCTTCCAGTACACCACACTAACCATGACCTTCATTCATAAATGACCTTGACCTTCAAGTATAAATGTGTAAACTTTGCTTGATTTTTGCTGATTTTTACTATAAGTGGCTATAACTTTGTAAAACCCTATCCGCAGAGCGGATAGGGGATTATTGGAACGGCCTCTGTCCATCCGTCCGTCTGTCTGTCCATCCGTCCCTTTGTCCGTCCGTCTGTCCATCCGTCCGTAACACTTTCGTGTCTACTCCATAACTTTAAAACCCCTGAATTGTTTTTTAAATAACTTGGCACAAGTGATTAAACATTATGAGACAATGTGCAGAGCGCGATAATTGGGTTGCTACCCCCAAGGCCAAGGCCACACTTAAAGGTCAGGTGTTAAAAAGTCGACATTTCGTGTCCGCTCCATAACTTTTAAACTGCTATTTAAAAAAATAACTTAAAAATAACTTGACACAAGTGATCAACATAATAAGACGATGTGCAGAGCGCAATAATTGGGCTGCTGTCCCTAAGGTCAAGGTCACACTTAAATGTCAAGTGTTAAAAAGTCAACATTTCGTGTACGCTCCGTAACTTTTAAGCAGCTAAAGATTTTTTAAAAATAACTTGTCACCAGTGATCACCATTATGTGACATTTGCAGAGCGCAATTACTGTGTTGCTACCCCCAAGGTCAAAGTCACACTTAAAGTTGACAAGAAAGACCTTGACCTTCACTGATAAATGACCTTGACCTTGAAGGTCAAAATATTGAAATGTTCATTGTTTCCCTAAAACTGGCTGTAACTTTCTAATTAATGAATGGATTGACTTCATTTTAGACAGATAAGACCTTTATGTATATAAAACTCAAATTGATTGACCTTGGCCTGAAGGTTTAATTATCAAAATGTCATTAATTTCTGCTATAATTGACTAAAACCTGGTTATAAATAAATGGATTATCTTCATATTTGGGGAAAAAAACTTTCGAACAAGACCTTTTAGAAAAATTGTCTGTCTAGTCAACTTAAAGGTCTATTTCATTTATACAAAAGTAGACTTGCTTCCAAACAAACATATTGAATAATATAGATATGACCTTGACCTTTAATTGACCATAAACATCAAGGCCAAATTAATGAAATTTGTTGGGTTTTTTTAATCAACTCAAAGTGACTTTGACTCATTATGTCACATTATTGAATGTTGGTTATATTGTCATAATTGGGTTAATTATGTACGGATTGTGTTTATATGTGAACAAAACAACACATGTGACCAAACATACATGTTGAATAATTTAATTATGACCTTCGCTTCTAAATAGCCTTGACCGTCAAATGATTGAATACTGCTGATATTTTCTTAATTATCATTTATTTATGGAAATGATTCATACTTGGACAAAACAATGAGTGTGACTAGACAGACCTATAAAGATATTACAATAAAAAAAATAAAATAAAAAATATTGTTTTTTCTTTAGTTTTCTTTTTAAAGATTTGTTTTAGGCCATTCATGTGTTTGCTTTTAGAAAAAGTAAAAAAAATAAGCGTAACACCCGCCCGGCGGTGGCTCTTGTTTTAGAGTCTAATTGTAGTGTACTTTTTTTCTTTTTTCGAATATTCTTAAGAATTATGTCACTTTTGTTCACCATTGGATATAAATGCACATGTTTTTCCACATATAAAAGCGCTTTTAAAACCATATACTATCAACAGTAAAACTGTGTATGATTTAATTTTTTCTCTCTTGCCTTTCATGTCTTATGTTTTGTTATTTAGATATATTTTTGTTTTGTGTTATTTATCATTAAAAGGATGATATAATTTAATAAAAAAGAAAATCATGAAATCGTACAAAGAATAGCTTTTTTATGCATGTATATACAACTGTGAGAAAATTGTCTTGTTTTATGCTTAAAATGCCATGATCTAATGCATAACGTTAATAAATCATAGCCACATTCACTCATCATTTGTTATTA